TGAGCACATGGCCTACAGCATTTCCGCCTCCATCGGAAATGCAGCCGCCGTACCCGGGATCCCATCCCGCGACCGCGATCAGCAGCCGAGTACCTTAGCCGCTAGACCACCGCGGCGGGGCATGACTTCACCCTGTGTCACAGTCAGAAGCAATCATTGTACTCTCAGGCATATTTAAGCATCTATAGCATTACTCCAGTACAGACTCCCCACTGTTTAGTGGCTAAGATACTGGGCTTCTGACCCGCAGGTTGCGGGATGAAATCACGGCCGTGGCGGCCGCATTTTCGATGGAGGCGAGAATGCTTAAGGCGCATGTGCTTAGATCCATAGGTGCACGTTAAAGAATTCCATGCAGTCGAATTTCTGAAGCCCTTCACTACGGCGTCTCTCACAATCGTATAGTGGCTGTGGGGCCTTAAACCCCACATATCACTCAATCAAATCAGAGCTGGTCGCTTCACTGAGGCAACGTTCACACTTTTTTTTTTCATTCGTAACTGCCGCAAAAATACAGGACAACGCTGGTCGCTCAGTCATACCGGTGTGCTTGTTTATATCCGAAGTGGGGTGTTAATAAATCACCACGCTTTTGGCGAAAACTTTATTGTTGTTTTAAACCATGACATGCGCGCATGCGTAATAATTTTCTTTATTTTTTTTTCTTGTACCCAACCCGTAATTATGTCTTAGTAGGTAAAACGTCCCGCCGTTAAGCTCGAGGACGCGGGTTCAATTTCTGGTCATGGCGGAGTATTTAAATGGGGGCGAGAAGCCGAGAACACCTGTGCGCCTAGATTTGCGTACGAATGAGCCCGCACTGGCACAGCTCAATCACATGATCATTTTCACCCGTAAATCTCCCCCACTCAGGGGCGTACTAGGGGGTAGCACACCCGGCCTGTGTCCCCCCCCCCCACCGAAAATTTTTCACCATGGCAGAGAGAGCAAAAAATGGCCATTCTAAGGGGTGTCCTCCGCGAAATAATGGAAGTGCCTCCACCCCCCAAACAATTTCCGTGTACGGCCCTGACCGCCTCCCCCCTCTTTTGTTGTTATCTGGTGAAACGCGCTACTTTCACAAGGCCCTAACTGCATACTTTGTCTCTGTTCGTGGCGTGGAATTATCACGGGCTTTCGCAGTGTGCAAGCCAGTCTCTTAAAACAAGATAAGCCATCCGCAAATGGCCTTGCGAGGGCATTGGATGATTTGCCCCATCGTTGTAAATATTGCAGGCGCCATAACACGGCCTAATATATACTGAAGCCCCGTGGGTACTAAGTTTTATTTTCTTAAAAATCAACCTGTCTTCTCAGGCTTTTTTTTTTTTTTGTTGCCATTTGGCGTTTATAGGAGTTTGGAGTTTCCAATTCTCCAAAATTCAGAGTTTAGCTTTATGCCTTTCGGAATACTTCAATATTTTAGATAAAGTGATTCCTGAACACGAAATGGTCAGAATACACGAAGCGTATATTCATGTTCTGATGGTCTGAACGCACAACGCCGAAGCAGAAATGCTTGAATATAAAACAACTGTGTTTGGGCGAATTGCAACCTTAAAGCGTGTTGTAAAAACGCAAGCATACTTTACGGGGTCCGCGAATTCGATGTCTTCAGTGCTGCCAGGGAACAGTGTATCAACATGCTGTCTCCTGCTCCCGGTGCCCTGAATAACTTGGCGTCTTCGTGTGCGACAAGAAATGTACGATGGGTGGTCTATCAGACAAAATTAATGTGAGCTAAAGCTTATATTGGCCCAACCGGCCGCTGTATAAATGATAGCTTAGAACATGGCCTTTTGATTTAAAAAAATAGAACTCGGCCATATTGGCCACCAAAATCGAAGTTTATCGGATAAATCCAAATTCTCAAAAATTTTACTGCCGAGTGTTTACCAGATTGTTCAGATTTTCAGAAAACCTGCGTCTTGTGCATAACTCAGGTCGCGCAGGCTCAAGTATTATCAGCTCGTTTCATCGCCAACTGGCTTAGTCGCAGCACAGGTAAACAAAAAACATGATAGACAGACGGGTTGCATACCATAGTTTTTATTGTAAAATTAATTATTTCTCTCTTTCAGCGCGTTCTCGACTAAAAACAGCTTCCCAGTGAAGTACCCTCCCAGATATTTAGATCCTTTCTTCTAGCATTAGACGGTAAACAACAACAACCACAACAGCACAACAACAACTACAACAAAAACTTGCACAAAAAATGATGATAAAATGATGAATAAAAAAGAATGCACCAAAGAGAAGATTTAGTGAATGGAACAGAGAGATAAATTAAGAACATGCAGTAAATCTTTTGGTATTCCCTAACATGTATCTCTAGTGTTTTTTTCTCTTTTTTTCTTGAGCGTGTATACTTCCTGTTTAAAGGAAGTAGTACGCTCAATTATACCCGACAGCAGTCTCTGTCAAAATGTATCTCTACCAAGTTTCCAACTTCTTGTGTATATAAACAGTAATCAGCATCATTTTCAGCCAATTGTCCATGTCCGCTTCACAGCAAGGGCCTCTCCCAATGGTCTCTAACTTATCTGTATTCTTACGCAAGCTCATTCCATTTTTATTTAGATTCAACACGGAATCAAGAATAACATTGTTTGGGGCATATGAAAACAAAAAAGATATTATTACGATTTCAAAGTGTTTGGAATCTGACTCGTTGGTAAAATTCGTCTTTTAAAAAATATCGGCAGATCCCACGTACCTTGGGAATTTACGTTATGCGAAGCATGCCACGAGGAAAGGTGGCCATGTTGTGATTTTTTTATTGAGCGACACGTCCCTAAATGACGCTAAATACAAGCATAAGTTGCACGCACAGGCATATGTTGAAAAGTTGTAGATGTTTATATAACTTGTTTGCACTTACGCAACAATGCCAATAGGAACATAAGTATTAGCAACATTATAAGTCATAATCTGAGATGAAGCGCTGTTTTTCCCGAGAATGGTAGCCCTGGACACTGCTACATAATTCAACTTCAGGGCATGGCAGCTAACTGCAATTGTCGTTAACCCGACGTCATGGCTGTACCATAGGATACATATGTAACGTTTGTAAAATTGAATAGCCAGCACTGCAACCCCACTTGACGTTTCACGAACACTATAGGTCTATTTGAGAAGCAGTTCCAAGACCTTACGTGGATCTGTAGTAGAATGCTCGATCACCACGCAGAATGCTTGGGTTTAATTCCTGCTGGGACCCGGACATTTATTCTTTGCATTCGTCGGGTAAACGCTGCCGACATCAGGTTTTGTAGCGTTTGCTACACTGGCCTCGCTGAGCCAATTTTGCGTGGCACTGGTCTGCGCATGCGCAATGATACTCCACGGCCGCCGCGCGCGGCTCGCCGCCGGTGTGCGCGCAATTAGATACGCTGCACAGATGATCAGTGGTGTCACGCACCGGAGCCGGCACCTCCCTCGCACTCGGCCGCGGCCGCGAGCGACTCGCCGCCGCCGGTGTGCGCTTTCCAGAGGAGGGCCGTCATAGCCTTGTAGACATATGCGCTAATGGGTGCGCCTTCCTTGTGCAGTCGCCATCTGACACTGCGCTGGAGCTGCTTGATAGCGCCTCTGACTGGCGTTTGCCCCTGTGGTATAGCCATGGAGAAGGAGAGTGCAAACGCTGCTCAACGGTGCAGTAGAGCGGAGAAGCTTAACTCATCGGAACCCGAAGTAGTTGCCCGGAAAAATAATATACGTGTCAGTGCAGCAGCAGTAAGCGTGATAATCAAGCTAATCCTGGACACTCTGGAAAGCTAAGAATAATCAGCTGAACCTTTGCTAACGCTACGTATATCCGCATAGCTGAGCTAAGCAACTGCCTTTTTTTTTCATAACGCTCACGCGTTAAAATTGTCCATGTGGTTCCTGTCGTTCTTGTGTAGATACTGCCAAGCTCCTGTTACCTGCATACCAGTGGCACATACGCGTCCTTTGGTATGTGCCGCTGTATGGCGGGAAGTGTTTGGCGACGTACTAGGCAAGATTGTTGACATTATTCATGCCCTGATTATCGCGTCATATTCATCAAACCATGCGTCTTACCCTCCCAAACTAGTTTTGGTTCACGCCAAGCTGTGGGGGTGATCACGAGAGCACCCAGACGCATACAAGCTAGCGGCTAGATAGATAAAAAGACACACACACAGACGCCAAAAGTTTTTGGAATACGCCTAGACTGCTTTGCATTTAAAAAAAAAATTAAAAAGGCACTCATTTACACGGACGAGGCAGCGCCCGCAATCATGTTCTTCCGTGTGTAAATTGGCGCTGTTCTTTTCTCTTTCTTTTTTCAGAAGGTTACCACTTACGTAGATACGTGGATACGAACGTATACAGTGGGCCCTGCAGATACATAGCTATCCGTCCACAGAGATAAGCTCGCCGTCACCGAGCTATCTCGGGAGGAGCGCTGCTTAAAAGCTCACACATTCTAATGAAAAAAAACTAAGAGTCCTTCGAATATTTTTGCAATGTATATAACCCCCCATGTATAATCTCTTTGACGAGACCCGCCAACTTCCTTTCGAAGAGTCGCGCGTCACACGAATTTCTAAAACAGTGTTTACGTGTCTTTTAGACAGCGTTTTTATTTAGTTATTTATTTATTTATTTATTTATTTATTTATTTACATATACACGAGAACACAGAAAAAACAGGAATATAGCAGCCGGCAGCTGCCACCTGCCGGGGCAGAAAAAGGAGTCAAATGACTCTTCTTTCTTCTTAAGAGTGCGAATACGGTCATGATCGCATCTCAGGGGACAGCAAAACGAGGAACAGGCGCGGCATATTACTTAGCCAAGCCGAGCCCGCTGTATTCGAACGCCACGTGGAGCCTTGCCACAGCAACTGTTCAGCGAGAGCGTTATCAGCGCTTTCTGGGCCTCCCTTATCTCCGTACGCCTCTATTTATTGGCGTCATCCCGAGCCAGTCAAAGCACTCCTGTCTCTTGACGGCTCACTTCGCCCGGTAGAAATGGACGCTTACGGAGGTGAGTTCTGAACACTCTGGATTCCTTAATATTGCACGCAGAACCGTCTAGTGCGTTCAGCTACGTATGTGGACTTACCTTACTTCCTTTTTTTTTCACACTTATCGCATTGCAGCCGCTGCGCTAAAAGCACTACGAACACTTAATTAGTTTTCTGATCTTGCCAACGGCTATATCACGCCACGCGTCTTCACACGTAGACTCATACTAATAAAAAGGGGCGTGGAACTACAGGGGCGTGAGTGGGGACCACTTGCAGCCACGCACAATGCTATTCGGTGAGCTTCGTTTTTTATATGTATCATTTATCCCGTTAGTTTTCGTATCATCTTTATTGCTCGCCTATAATAGGCACCAAACTTGTGGAAACATCAAACCATTTTTTTTTCTTTGTATGTCTGCACTTTGCATTGCTCATTCATTTCCGGATCCTCGAAACGTAACCCCCCCCCCATATATATATATATATATATATAATATATATATATATATATATATATATATATATATATATATATATATATAATATATATATATATATATAGTGGGAAATAAGATTATTGGACCCCGTTAGAATAAGAGAGGGAGTAACGACTTTTTTTTTTCGTTTTGCACTGTACATTTCACTAACGTTTCATCTGGTGGACCAAGCTATGAACAAAGTCTGGTCCTCCACCAACGCAATTTTAGCGAAACTATACAGTGCCAAACCAACGAAGGTTTTCATTCTCTATTTCTTATACACCACACACACACATACTATATATTATATAATATATATTATATATATATTATATATATATATATATAATATATATATATATATATATATCTCCGGACTGCCTGCATTTCGCCACTGACGCAGTGCACGTGTTGAACCCCAGAGCGAACTGACTGTGTTTACTTCACACTTTGTCATTTTAACTCACACCAACACATGGCGAGCTAATTAAGCCATGGACGCCACTCTCATATAACAATCGTGTCCTCTTCATTGCCCGATACTCCTCCTACGAACCTGAGTGCACCTTTAATTTAACGCGGAACGCCGCGAGAAAACTGTGTGCGTGGCCGAATGTTCCCGTGCACGGGTTTTTATCGACACGTTTCCGGCGATTCTCGGGTATATAACGATTTCAGAATATCCTCAAAGCATGCCTCGCCTGTCGACGCATTCATTCCGGAGCAGCGTGACGGTTATATGTTGCTCGCAGCAGTGAAAGTTGGCGGGTGATAGTGCTGCATGTGATAAGCTTGTGCTTTCTTTATCTAGGCGCTTCCATCAACATTGCTTCAAAAAGCGTTAGAGCTGTGAAACCCACAAGCTTTCATGTAGATTTCATCTTACTCAGTAACTGCAGTCCGAGCACACTTTATACAGAACGACTGAACGGCTCATAGAAACATCCAGGCTATATTAGAGGGGCCGCTGATGGTAAGAGGAAAGGGCGTGGCATTGGGTTAATTGGTGATGGTAATGGTCTCTTTATCACGCTCAAAAAGAAAGGACCAGTCTTAATACTGGTCGCGCAGGCTTAGATAAGGTCGTCGGGAATCCCTTGGCATATTGCGGCATCCACCACACGCATGGATCATCCACCGCAGCTCGGAGCACGCCGGAGTGACTCCCACGACTCTGGGGTCACTAATCGGGTTGATTGGATACATCTGCGGTTGACATAGGCTTTTATATTCCGGCCCCATCACAACATCGCCATAGCTGGAAATCGAACATGCGACTTCACGCTCAGGAGCAGAACATGCACGCTGAGCAATCCTATGATTCATGACAAACTAACCGCATGAAGCATGGCTTTGAATCGTAGCGCGGTATATCTTCATCAATTACCTACTGAAACAAAGGCGTTTAACCGCTGAAGAGAGCTGACCATCACGTATTGAGTTGAAAGCACCGGCAACGAGGTTTTATGAGAAGGAACACACACATCATTAAAGTCTGCAGTGAGTAAACCTGCATGTGCGGTGGAATGCCGCACGATCCCAAAGCATTCCCGAAGCAGCAGATTTTCGATCTTTCCTGCAGTCCTGTTCAGCCTACGTATCTCCTTCACACCGATGTGGTAAAAAGAAAAATATTGTGATGTTGGCTGGTCGATGGAGGAGGAAGCAATACCGTGCGCTATATACGCTAAACAGGAAAAAAAATGAGCTATGGTATCTACAGGGATGTACTCTGACACATCTCTCTTATCGAGCATACGTGCAGCCCTGCACACGATGGCTAGTTTCCCCAAGTACTCAGTATCGTTGGACTACAGGCATACGTGGTGACACACAGGTCACTGCACACAACACTGCACACGGTGAATGGGCCCCACTCGCTTGTTGCACTTTACTTTGATCCTCCATTGTAGTTACGTACAATGCGTAGAATATATGACCTCAATTCCGAGTTTATAGCTATAATCGAAGCAGTCATATCGGACGTTACGACACATGGAATTAAAAGCAAACGGTGCGCGAAATAATGATATCATGGCGAAATGAAAAGCGATGAATTATTGTTGCGTTAATTGATGATGTGTCTACTCTGTATAGTGTCTGCATTGAGTATGCGTGTACAAACCACCACTTCGCAACATGTATATGCCACGTGCACGACGAGCTCAACATCGCAAAAAGAAAAAAAGAAACATCACAGCGCTCAGTTATCTTGATTCTGCATGAATTAGGACACACCGGCGCTTCTGCATGGTGAACAATGCTTCTGATGCCTTCCGATCATATTGAGAGAAATTGCGACCTTTCGTGCTCTACTAATAGGTTTGCTACGTCAGTGAATGGACGTTCTAAAGCAGAAACGCCATTTGCCGTACTGAATACTTGAAGTGGAGTAAGGGCGGGGATCAGTTTTAATGTATTTTACACTACTGTCACTGACTTTATCTCTTAACGAAACAGATAATGCACATCCAAAAAAAGCTCCCCTGGAAAAATAAATTTCAACAAGACAGATCCTGTGCTGGACATAAGAAAAACAAGGCTCTTATAAATGTGCTTAGGGCGTGATGAAGTAGAATATCTTATAGGAGCTTTTAGCACTCTCAAGTGCAGACATTATGTGGAAATCTGACAGCGATTGACAGTGAAGCCTATGCGGTGTTGACAGGCTTAACACCGTTTCGCAGCACCCACTACAGGCCCGTGTGCGAGTGGGTCATATGCTTCGAGAACCGCATTCCGTACAACGCGGTGCCCGGCGGTGAAGACAGCGGAGAGACCATCTACATCGGCCGCGCTGTGCACAACGGCGAGGTGATACCTGGCAAGGTGGTGCCGTCTCACAGCTGCTGCTACGTCGCGTATGAGGGCGCCGAGCACAGCCACAGGGACTACCAGGTTCAGTACAGCTCGGAAAGTTTCTGCTTGCGGCCTCGTCACATTGGCAGCAGTAAAAAAAAAAAATTAGTTCGAGGCAACTTTAATCCTCGAATTAGGCATCTGACAGTGCCACTCGCACCGGCATTCTTGTACCCAGGTATATTTGTTGGGTTTCGTGGCACTGACGAAGTGGATCTCAGAGGTTACGCACAAAGAAACACGTGGATGAGATCTGGTCTGCCAGGTGTTGCAGTGATCCCAGCTTTTCTGGGGAGCCTTCATGGCTCTTAAGCTGTTATAAGCTGTTCACAAGAAACGCACCTGTTCGTTCAATGACAAATTCATTTATTAATCTTCATTATATTTCTGACAATTATGGTCCTTAATTATTTAAGTAGACTTATGCTCCGATATAATATTTATCTAATATAACTTGTAACTTCGACTGAAATTGTATATCTTTCAGAAGACTTCTTCTGAAAATTCGGTCCACCAAAAGTGCTTGGGAGACGAACAAGAGTGTCACACGGTGATCGTGTGAATAATAAAAAAAGACAAAAAAAACGTTATGTCAAGCATTCTTTCCCGCCATCAAACTTCTACATTGGAAAATGACATCTGTGTAATGTCTACAAGAACACCTTACACTAAATATGTTTATAACATAATGTAGCTGAATACAACCGCTGTCTCTTTGCCACGAGCATGTGCACAAAATAGGGGAGGTGTCACCCTTCTAATTATCTAAAGTGGAGCACTAATTGTGCGCCTTGGCTTTGCTCAGTCAGACTGACTAGGGACAACACCTGATACTGTAGGAGAGCGGACTCACTAGGGGCTGCTTTTCCTATCACCTCTGTAAATATCAGTTAATAAATATTCGCTATCGCAACCACGCCGTAATTATTTATGTGCTCAATTATGGCACCACATTATTTCTACTATAAGGGAAATCGAGCGCCATTGATGTTGCATGCCAAGAATGGTTTATTTCCGAGAAAAAAAAGAGGACCACTGGCGGGTCGTTTTGAGAAGTGAGTCATGGCTTCAATTTCGTTTGCATTCGTTGCGGAGCTTGTTACCTTTCGTATTCGACGAAGGAGGAGAGGGGGCACTTCTGTGAAGCTTGCCCCATCTACCCCAAATGGACCACATTGCGCAAGCCTATGCCCTTTGGTTGCTTAAGACGAACATCTGCAGCGACTTGGTGGCAATGCGACAGCCAACTGAGAATACGGCTTGGGCGAGCTGCAACAGGTACTGCCAGAACTTACGAAAAAAAAAGAAAGAAAAGGAAACGTTTCTATTATAAGTTTGCTGGATTTGTGGTAGAAACTTTCTATCGCGAAAATAATGTAAGCACGTTAGTTTTTTTTCTCTCTCAACATGAACAAAACGCATGCACACGACAACAACACAGCGCATAGTCAAGCGATATCCAATGTGACGAATGCGGTCGCTGACCTTTTCGCAGACTCTCATCTCGGATGGCACTCCGTTGTCCTGGGTGCCGGCTTCCGACGGCGCACTTCCCACCGGCGCCGTCCAGGGCGGCGTGTGTGCTTCGGGCGAGCCACTCTACATCGGCCGTGCCTACCACGAGGGAACACTCACCATCGGCAAAGTGCAACCTTCGCGCCGCTGCCTCTCCATCCCGTACGGTGGCGAGGAGCATTGCTACTCAGACTACGAGGTACTGGTGGTACAGACGGTCAACTTCTGAGATAAAGGAAAGGTGGACTCGTCACAAGAACGCCTGACGTAAACGCTCAAGCTAGCTCACTCTTGAAACAACCCTATTCGGATCTGGTTTCAACGTCCTTGCGCAATAAACCACTGTCACATATATTTTAGTAAACTCCTGGCTATTTATTTGTCCCAAACACGTACCCATGAAGTCATACGTAACCTGAGACTGAATTGCCGTTAATCTGATGCCAGCCTCAATGAAGGCTAAGACAAAGAACACTGTACAAAAGAAATAATTTAGTTCGTTGCCGAACAGGAACATATACACGATCACACCATCGAGACATGAACACCAGCCTGTCCAGCACCACTAGCAAAACAGCAAAGGGTGTTGTACTCGTGCTTCATTTTGGCGAAGAATAATATCGGCTGGTACTTCGCGTCTGCCCTGTCTATAGGGTTATATAATAATATAATAATAATATAATAATAATAATAATATAATAATAATATAATAATAATAATAATAATAATATAATAATAATAATAATAAACTGATGCGGCTCAACGTTCCAAAACTAGTGATGCAGAACTATTGCAAAGTGGATTATCGATATATTGTAACGGGTGCAAGAGAAGAAACGTCAAAAACTAGTTTATTATGGGCGAACTTGTGCCCTGAAAATTATGTGCGAAAAGATGGAGGAGTTAGCTAGAGCGTTCCAAAACGAAAACTGTTCATCTGCCAACGCACCTTCTTCTTCTTCGCAGCTCCAACCCACACTGACTCGTGCCTGTGAACAAGAGGCATGAGTCGTGCTGCCCCAAGCAAGAGTGCGCACAAGACTGTGGACGCTGATTCTTCATAATGTTGGATATTGTAAACAGTCTCTGTGGAATTAGTCCCCCTTCGAAATACGCATCCTCCCGATGCGCGATAGAGGGAGGCAAACAGAGAAAGGGAGCGTTTTCATTTCCTCTCATAATAGGGCTTCATACGAACGACGTGCACGACTTCTGCGCTGATTTGCCGCTTTGAACGGATGTGTCCATCGGCGATGACTTCGTAGTTTAGGTCACTTATTCGTCGGAGAACCTTATAGGGGCCAAAGCATTGACAAAGAAGCTTTTCTGATAGGCCGCGGCGTCGGAATGGTGTCCATATCCACACTCGCTCACCTGGGTTGTACTGAACTTTTCTGCGGCGCAGGTTGTAGTGGCTTGCGTCCTTGTTTTGCTGTTGATGTATTCGATGTCGTGCCAACTGGCGTGCTTCTTCAGCCCTTTGCAGAAAGTCGTCAAGTTCAGATGGTTCGTAATTGTGGTTGTCCACTGGCAACATGGCATCGAGTGTCGTAGTGACAGTGCGACCGTAGACCAGCTGAAATGGTGTGACGCGGATGGTCTCCTGCATGCACGGCGGTATTGTAGGCGAAAGTTGCGTATGGCAAGATTTCGTCCCACAATTTATGCTCAATGTCAACGTACATCGACAGCATGTCGGCGATGGTGCGGTTCAGGCGTTCTGTCAACCCGTTGGTTTGGGGATGGTATGCAGTGGTCTTCCTATGGCTGGTGTTAGTCATTGTCATTAAGGACTGCATCAAATCAGCCGTGAACGCTGCTCCTCGATCGGTAATCACGACGAGTGGGGCTCCATGGCGAAGAACAATATTCTGAACGAAAAACTTCGCGACTTCCGTTGCCGTTCCTCGCTCAAGGCAGCCGGTTTTAGCGTATCGTGTCAATAGTCAGTCGCAACTATTATCCACCTTTTCCTGATGCCGACATTGGAAATGGTCCGAGGAGGTCAATTCCAACCTGTTGAAATGGAGTCGCTGGTGGCTCTATAGGCTTGAGAAGGCCGGCCGTCTTTAGGGGTGGTGTTTTTCGCCTTTGACACTCGCGACATGTCTTGACGTAATGCTTCACGGACGCTAGCAACTTGGGCCAGTAGTATTTCTGATTAATTTTGGCGAAAGTTCGACTCGCTCCCAAGTGACCCGCAGACGGTTCATCATGACAGGCTTCTAAGACTTCATGCCTCATGGCTGATGGTACAACGAGTAAGAACTTCTCCTTGTTGTGTTCGAAGTTCATCTTGTAAAGTGCATTATCTCGGAGGCAGAATGAGGATAACCCTCTCTTAAATACGCGAGGAACGTGTTCGTCGTGCCCTTCGAGATACTTTATTAATGGGAGCAGTTCCATGTCAGCCCGTTCATGTTCGGCAATTTCTGAGGTTTTTATGACACAAAGGAGTGGGAAGTCCTCTTCTTCTGAAAGAGTTGAGTGGACTGGTGAACGTGATAAGCAGTCAGCATCATCATGCTTTCTGCCAGACCTATATACGACCGTAATGTCATACTCTCGGAGCCTGAGACTCCATCTCGCAAGCCGTCCCGATGGGTCTTTTAAGCTCGCCAGCCAACAAAGTGAGTGGTGGTCGCTCACAGCACGGAACGGCCTGCCGTAGAGTTATGGCCTGAACTTGCTGATCACCCATATGACTGCTAAGCACTCTTTTTCGGTTGCAGAGTAGTTTCTTTCCGCTTTTGAGAGGGTGCGGCTAGCATATGCTATCACTTTCTCTTCTCTATTTTGCCATTGCACCAGGACCGCACCTAGGCCAAGATTGCTGGCATCTGTATGAACTTCCGTATCTGCGGTTTCGTCAAAGTGGGCCAGGATAGGTGGGCTTGCAAACGTTTCTTTAGGTCATTGAATGCACTGTCTTGTTCGGTGCACCAAATAAATGGCACGTCCTCTTTTGCGAGTCTTGTTAGAGGTTCGGCAATTTTCGCGAAATTTTTTACAAACCGCCTATAATAAGCAGATAAACCCAAAAAATCGGCGTACCTCCTTCTTGTCTTTCAGCTTGGGAAACAGCCCCACGGCCACAGTCTTCTCCGGGTCCGGGCCAACACCTTGAGTGCTGATTACAATATCAAGGAAACGAAGCTTCTCGAATCCAAACTGGCATTTTCCGGTTCGTCAAGCCGGCTGACTGGATAGCCTGAAGTACCGAACGTAGTCGCTCTACATGCTGTTCAAACGTTGCTGAAAACACCACAACGTCGTCCAGGTAGACTAAGCACGACTAACATTTGAGGCCTAACAGGACGCTGTCCACCATGCGCTGGAATGTTGCAGGCGCACAACAGAGGCCGAATAGGAGTGCTTTAAACTCATATAGACCATCCGGGGTTACGAAAGCAGTCTTTTCACGGTCCCTTTCGTCCACTTCAATTTGCCAATAACCGCTTTTTAAATCCAATGAAGAGAAATACCTTGCGTGCCGTAGCCGATCCAACGTATCATCAATACGCGGCAAAGGGTAGACATCCCGCTTGGTCACGCTGTTCAGCTTTCTGTAATCAACGCAGAATCTCAGCGTGTTGTCCTTTTTCCTCACAAGGACTACAGGCGATGCCCACAGACTATTGGATGGCTGTATGACATCATCCTCCAGCATCTCTTTCACTTGGCTCTTTATGATCTCAAGTTCCTTCGGTGATACTTTGTACGGATTTTGGTGTACCAGCCTTGTAGCTTAATTCATCTATTATTATTCGGTGTTTAACAACCTGGGTCCGCCGTACTTTTGACGTGGTAGAGAAACATTCGGTGAAGTCTCTTAGGAGGTCTTCAATGATTTTCTTCTCGGCTGTGGATAGATTTTGGCTGATTGCAACTCTTGCCACGACATTGGGCACAGGTTCCGAAGTAGGTGGCCCTGACACCAGACCACATAAGTCCGTCACTGTTTGAAAACCGTGCTGGAAGGCGATAGCAGTGTCCTTTGCAACATGCTGAATTTCGTTTCCGAAATTCGTGAGCAATACATCGGTACATCCACCACGTAATTGAATAATGCCTCGAGCTACACAAATGCCTTTCTTGAGCAGTAGTTTGATATTTTCATCCGCTATACCTTCAGAATCAACGAATGCTTCATTTCTTGCACCGACTATTACGCTGCATCGTGGCGGCACGGTAACATCACAATCTATAACACGTAATGCAGTGTATTCTGGCTCATTTGTGTCTATGGCCAGTTGGTCGAAAAAGAGACACTAGAATTTTGCAGGTCGATTATAGCTCCATTTGCTAGCAGAAAATCCATTCCGAGTATTAAATCTCTAGAGCATTCCGGAAGTACGACAAAGTCAGCAACGTAAGTAGCGCCTTGAATTCCGATTCTTCGTGCGGTACATCTTCCCAGAGGTGTGATGAGACGACCCCCAGCCGTGCGTATCTGGGGTCCACTCCAAGGCGTCAGGACTTTCTTTAAATCCTTTGCGGCAGCGTAACTAACAACCGAATAATCAGCACCTGTGTCAACTAAAACGGTAAATTCACACCCGTCTACGGTAACGCGTAAGTCTGAAGAAATTTTGTCTTTACCTAACCGAGTTGTAGTGTTCCGCTCGTCGTTGCTGCACTCGGACCTTGACGGAGGATCTTCAGTTGGTCGGACATCAGCGGCTTTGCCTCCATAGGTCGCTGGCTTCAGTTTTCCTGATGGGGACTGCTTAAACGACGGTGTGTTGAGGTTGAAGGTGGAGAAGGTGAACTAAATCGTCGAGGGCTTGGCGATCGATAACGAGCAGGTGCTGGTGATCTAAGCTGATGCTGGAAACCAGCAGATGGAAACAGATGGCCGGACAAGTAATCTTCAATTTCAACGGGCCTTTCGCCATTTCGGGCGCATGGCGCGTTTAGAGAAGACCCACGGAGACCAACTCGTCAATATGGGCATATTCTGTACAGGTGTCCAGCTTCGCCGCAGTGAAAACAGAGAGGCGTCCTGTCGGGTGTGCGCCACACGTCGCTTTTTCGTGGCCTCGAATTAGCTGGATAGTTTGAGCCACGCGAAGCCGGTCGGTAGCCACTGGGAGCTACAAACGAAGCAGTATGCACGGTGGGCTGGCGCACGGCATCGGCATAAGTCGGTACGGGGCGTTGCTGCAATTGCTGTTCAAGTCGAACAGGTTGCGCCTCGGGTTCGGCTTGAAGAATGGCGTGGCGAACTTCATCTCTGATCAGGGTAGTCAGAGACAAAACTGGCGTTGTGACTTGTCGGGGCAGCAGCTTCTGGAGCTCTTCCTTCACAATGGATCGCACCATTTCCCTCAATGCTTCGCTGCTGCTTCCCAGGTTTGCTGA